AAAAAAAAAAAAAACCTCTCAGCTCTCAATCTATATACAACAAATGGTAGTTTTAGGGAGAACCCCTCTCATAGCCAAACATACCCCAAGAAGCAATCCTCAGTAATATGTTCACACTACAGTGCAGTGTAACAGTACCTGAGTCATCTCGGGTATCTCACGCAATATAGCCACAGTTGCATGGTCCTCAGTGCAGGTTAATCTACCCTGCCTCTCAGTAAAGTGTATTAGCCTGGGCAGAGCAACAAATGAATGTAGCCAAACTGGCTCCAGTACCCAAGCAAACTCATTGGAACTACACTGTAGGCTGCAACATAGCTATACTTTTACTTGGGTAGCCTCTGTAGTTGCTGCTGTTGAATGGGCCACTTTGCACAATCTTATTTTTCTTAAATGCTAATGACACTTCTTTTCCGGGTTTCAGGGAAGGCCATAATGAGTTTGAACTGAAGGAGCACCACACATCTAGCTACCGTCCTCTTCGCAAGCACAAATGAGTCTGAGTCTTGGCCAGAAAGGAAGATGGAAAATGGAAATGAAGAGGAGAATTGTCCGGATGAGAGAAATCCAGGAGGGTTTGCAATTGCAGTTGAAACTAGTGACCTCTTGAACAACTAATGGGCTCTTGGTAGTTCTGGAGAAGCTTGAAGAATCATGTGATCCTGTTGCCAAAACACAGCCAGGGAAATGTTGCTGGGAATGAAGTGTTAAACCCTCATATACCCCATGCACACATCAGGAAATGGTTGCAGACAACAAGAAGTTAAACAGGTGGAGTTTAGATAATGCTAGAGCCACGGATACAGCATGCCTTTTAAGGCAGCATGAGGCTGTGTGACGAATCACTTCTTTCTTTTACTAATAATTTGCATGCCTCTTCAAAAGAGAAGGTAAAGCAAGTCATAGGAAGTCAGTTTTTCTTTGATTTGATGGAATATATGATGAAAATTTTCGAAGTATAATAAAAGGTATAAAAGAGGTAGGTGTTGTGAAAGCTTTCTTGGAATTTAAGGAGTATTATTGTGCCATAATGTATATCCTCCATTCTAATGCCAGACAGATCACAATCAAAATGGAAGAGTTTGCACTTCTTGAAATACTCTTGGGCAGGTCTGGGAGACCTTGGGGTGGCCTTGTATAACGTTGTGAAGAGGGTATTAAAAATACTTGCTGTGTTCCACCTCAGTGGGGGCTTCTTTTTACTACTGAGCAATATTGTTCCTGTATCCTTCTTGTCATGTTTAAGGTAAATCTGAATGAAGCTGGAATTGTTCC